AGTTTGAACTTTCCAATAGTTGATTGAATTTTTTAGTATCGGAATATGAAAATTTGGTCGATGTTCTTGGTATTTTAGTTGAAGTCCACAGAGAGGTTGAAAAATTTTTTTTCTAGAGAGAGAATGGGCTAGGACATTTTGAGAAAGGGAAGACTTTTTGACCTTTTATACCCAAGTCAATATGACGTTGATTTGAAGAACCAGGATCCGTATGTAACTCGAGTAGGATCGCGTTATACCCAATTGAGACCCACTCATTTCGTAGGTTTTTCTTTTTTCTTTGTGTTTATTTTTTGCTTTGATTTTTTTTTTTTTGTGTTTGATTTTTATTTTCTTATTTTATTTTCTCTTTTTTTATATATTATTTATTTTATATTTTATATTTATTATTTTAAATGGTTGTTTGAATTAATTTGGTGAGAAAAAAAAGAAAAAATAGTTTATTTTTGCATGATATTTTTATGAATTTATTTTTTAGTACTTATTTTAGCATGAGTTTAATATATTTGCATTTTTTTATATCTAATTGCTTGTTTTCATATTTATTATGTGATCTATAAATATATTTTGTATAATTGCACGATAATTTATATATTATATTATTGCATGATTGTATTATTTTTGCATGATTATATTATGATTGCATGATATATTATATTATTGTATGATTTTATTTTGCATGATAATTTTTGTCTATTTTAATTGATTTTTTTTTCAAATTTAAAAAATGATTTTTCACAAAAAAAAACAATAATAAATTTTCAATCATACCAAACTATTAGAAGATTTAAATTTTGAATTAAATCTTATCAAAGTATTAGAGGACTTAATGAATTTTCTTGAAAAAATATTTTTTTAAAAATCCTGTCAACACATTAAATGATAGTTCTTGATATAAAATTTTATCAACATATTGAAAGATATTTTTAAAAATAAATTACTTCTTTATAAAAATTAGATCTTGATTGGTTATCACAAATAATTTTTAATTAAATAAATCCTATGATGGAGTCTCTTTAGAGTGAAATAATAGTCCTTATGAATACTCTTGAGGTAAGAAAATTATTTTAAATTACTACAAAACTATTAAAGTAATTTTATGATTAAATTTCAATAATTAAATTATTTAATAAAATTATAAAAATAGTTTAAAGCTTTGATAACTTAAAATCAAATTGGTACAATCCTTTTGATGAGCGTTATAAGAGTGCTATTACCTTTTTCTCATGTAATGCACTCTCAAATCTAAATTTAATTTAGTATATTAGAATCTATTATTTAAAGATACCTAAGTCAAGCTTTGAATTCTTTTTTAAAATAGGACATATTCAGTTATGTGATTAATCATACCTAAACAAAAAAGATTTGTGACAATTTTTTAAATCTATGTATAATAATAGATCCACAAATCTGTACATTATTATAAATGGCATGCAAAAGCATTGCCTTGTCAACAATTATAAAACTGATGAAATTTTAACAAAAGCCTTTCTGCTATTTATAAATATTTCTTTACTTTTCTAGATATAATAAAGACTATAATAGAGGTATTCTTATGGAATGTAGGTGAACTAAAGATTATAATGGAGGTATTCTTATGGAATGTAAATAGAATTGACTAGTTGAATTCTGGTATTTTTTTTAGTTGATATATGATTTATATAAATGATTTTTTATCAAATTTGTAAATGAAAAATTACTAAAAAGTGAAAAAGATCGATCTTTTTGAGCAAACGATTGATTATCATAATCCAAAAAATTCATGCTTTAGCAACGGAATTTCAATCGTTAATATGTTTTAATGATGGCTTTGTGTATTCTATTTTTAAAAAAATTCTAACTTTAGTGATAAAAATTCTATCTCTAACTAGTTTTAGCAGTGAAATTATAAATTTTACTTTCTAAAATATTTTCAAAAATTATCTTTTTAGAGATAGAATTTTATTTTTTATTTCTAAAATTAGTTTAAGTGAAATTATTTTTAGCGATGAAATTTAGGATACTAGTGATAAAATTTTCCGTCACTAATAATCACTCATTATCTATGTAATGTTTTTGTCGACTTCATATATTTTTTTATTTTGGTGACGAAAATTCCAAGGTTAAAATTTTTTTTGACGGTAAAAAGGTATTAGTGACAGAAAATTCTGTCACTAAAAGTCATTTTTTCTTGTAGTGTTCTTCCATTATTTTTTTTTCATAATTTAAGCAATTCTTAAACAATTGGTCAATAGTTTATATAGCAATAAAATAAAGAAGAAAATCAGGATTGTCCTCAGATATATGCACTACCATTTAAGGTGCATGAATTGAAGAATTATGTTATAATTTGACTTTTATATAAAGTGGACCAAACCAATTTATTTATGGCTATAATTATGTTAAAAATGGGTAATTTTTAATTTACATATTCAAATGATGTGTGTAGCAATATTTATTTTCTGTTTGAAATTTATTAATTTGTCATTCATAAATTATTTGGTCTAATAATTAAAACTTCTTACCTAATTATGGTAGGGTAAAATAATAATAAAAAATCTCTTAAACTTTATAACTTTGCTTACATAAGCTTTTATATTTTTATTACAATTAAATAAGCTCTTAATTTTAATTTTATTCAAATAAATTTTTAATTTTTAATTTGTATATAAATAATCCTTTAAATTTGTAATTTATACCTACATAAATCTCTAATATAAATAATTTTTTGTTTAAAATAAAAATTTATTTAGATAGAAATCAAAGTATGAAGGTTTATTTAGATAAAAAAAATATTGAAGGTTATTTAAAAAAATAAAATAATTTAAAGATTTTTTAAAAATATTTTAGCCATTATAATAGTATCCAAAAAAGGATTCAATATTATATTACGTATTAATAATAACAATTAAAGTTTTGTTATTTAATTCAGAATAATATAAGATAAATAATAATAATAATAAATTTAGTTTTTTGTATTATTTTTAAAATAAAAAATAAATCAAATAAAATGCATTTATTGAAGGAAATGTAACAATTCATACATCAATAATATAGAACATACACATTAAATGTTTTTCACTTTTGCCAAAAATTGTAATTTTTATATATTTTTAAAAGAAATGAATTGTGAGTATTAAAAAAAAAAAAGCTTAATTACGAAAATATGGCTTTTGTTTGAAGTGTTGTTAGGATATTATGATGCGCCAACCATCCAATTTAATTTTATCGTACACTTAACTAGTAGTACGTGTCAAAGCCACAGTGGTCATCCACACCGGATCACTACTTCCAGACGACTCGGATCAAGTTATCGAGTCGAGCCGGTCGGAGCGTGCCATCTCGAACCTGATTGGCCACCTTGGTTTTGATGACGTCACCTCATGCGGAAGCAGTGACGCCAGAAATCTAACCAGTCTTTCGGTGAAAGCCACGTGGTGGAATTATTATACACTGATGGCTCCAGCTTCGGCCTTTGGTTCCTTTTTCCACGCCTTAAATAAGCGCGTTGAGAACACGACTTCCCAACTTTTTTTTTGGAAACCAACTAGTAAACATAACGAGTGTTTAATTAACTTTTTGTTAATATGTTTAATTATTATTAGATTTTTATTTCGAGTGTGTTTTATTTAAATTTGTAGGGTTTGAAAATTTTTATTTGGATAAATTTAGGACATAAATTTCTTAAGTTAAAAAATTAGAGATTTGAATAGATAAAAAATTTTAATTGGGGTTAATTTAATACACTTATTATGATGATTGCATTTGGATTTAATAATTTGTTATGTTAATTGTGAGATGAACATATATATATTATATTATTTGATTTAATAATAAATGCACATATTGTTGACTGAAAGTTCCTTCAAATAAAATTTCTTCTAAATATAAAAAAAAATTGGATATGCTTATGACTTTTTCTCAATATAATACTATTTAGGTATTCTAAAGAAAGTTTAGTATATGTTTTTGAGAATTATTTTATTATCCAAGTAGTTACTTAGAAGAAATATGTACAAATCAATGGATTTGAGAAGTGATTCTAATATTCCTTCCTCCAAAACGAAAATAAAATTATAGTAATAATTTAATTTTTTCAAATCCAATTTATTAATTTTAATTTGAAATTTCCAAATGCTATCCAAGTGACTTGTCACTAAATTCTGATTCAACTTCCTTAAGAATCATTCCAAAAAATTTGTTTAGATTTTCTATTCTAAATCCAAATCTCACCCTCTAAATATTGGTTTTAAATTTATATGAATAAGAAAATCTCATGATTTCATTTCAAAAATTATTTTACAAATATATATTTAAGTCTTTATATATATTATATGGATCTTCATATTTATTTACTGTGAAATTGGAGGGATTATAACCTAATAAACTCATCTCATAGCAACTTGCTGATTAAAAAAAAAAAATGAGGCTCAAGTATCTTTGACGAAATCTATTGTTATTGTAAATTTAAATATTTTTTATATATTATAAAAAATTATTTAATATATTATTGGTAGAATTTAAAATTTTCATCAATAAAATTAAAGAATGATCACATACTCCATTAAGTTATATTAAAAAATTAATAAAATAAAAAATAAAATATTTTAATTTATAAAATTTAAAAATTCCACCAATGTATAAAATAATAATTCATTTTATAACTTTTTAAACTATGAACATGACAAAATATCTTTGAAAAAAAGATATTTTAAAAATTAATTGATACATAAATGAAGTAAAATTATTGAAAAGAGTCATAATGTGGACCCGAATATATAATAATTATTGTTTTTTTTCTCCCAAAAACGAAAGTAATCAGCAGTGTACGGCATGATATGTTGTCCAGGTGTCTACTTAAAAATAGAAAAATGATTTACTGCTACACATTGAAACCAAAAAAAAAAAAAAAACAATGATAAATCATTTTTTTACTCAAATGAGTGGGACGGAAACGCGCTTTAAGTAGCGTCTGGATTAGTACATTCATATGCCTTCATTTTGATGATTGTATCCGAACGTCCCAACTTTTTTTTTTTTTTCCTTTTCTATTTGATTTTCGTTCTCTTATTATCTTCTCTTTTTCTGATCTTGAATTTCCGGGAAACTTGTTTCTTTTCCCTAAAAACTCCTCTTCTTAAGAGTCTTTTAATTCTACCGAAAATTAGTAGCCTTTTGAGGTATAGAGTTTGAAGGCCTGAAAATGGATAATTCGGTAAGCAGTTTGAAGGAAAGCAAAGCAGCCAAAAAGGCCAAATCCAAGAAGAAGAACAACAACAATAAGCCTATCAAAGTAGTATACATATCCAACCCCATGAAAGTGAAGACCAGTGCGTCGAAATTCAGGGCCTTAGTGCAAGAGCTCACCGGCCAAGATGCTGAATTGCCTGACCCAACCAAGTTTACCGACACCGACGAAGACATCGGCGGCGGCAATCAGACGGTCCCGGATGCTGCAAAAATAAGTATCGATGATCATGCGCAAGAGGTCCCTAGGGTAGAGGAGCAACCGGCTGGTCATCATCATCATGAACAACAGTACTCTCATGATCAGGATGTCCCCTCTGAGACCTTTGACGAGGTTTTTACACCCCAGATGCTAGAGAATTTTATAGGTATCTTGCCTCCAGGCCTTTCGTCATAAATAAAATCTTTGAAATGCGGCTGAGGAGCCTTTTGATTAAAATGTAAATTGAGTTAGCTCTCTTAGGCCTTGACTGCTGTTCTTTTGGGTGTTTTAAACGTACGTTAATGTCTTGTTTACTTAATGTAATCTCTTTAACTATTTTATATATGATGTTTTTTCTTCGCTCTTGTTTGAATGAATCTGATGATGTTATTGTTTGGGTTGCAAGAAACATCGATGGAGATTGTAGTAGTTGCAGTTGTATCTTGAGTTTTATTGCTTCTCTTTGTCAATTCATGCATTTCAGGGCCGGTTTGAAAAGAGGCCTGCAAGAAATTATCTCTGGTGATGTTGAAAATAATATTGAAAGTGAGATTGGTTGTAATATCAATGAAATTAAAATCAATAATAAAATGATATATTTAGATGCAATCAAAACAGTAATGGTAAGATAAATTGTAGAGAGAGAAAAAATTGATTATTAAGAATATTAAATTAAAAGATAAAATTAATAAAAATTTAAATTATTTAATAGTTATAAAATTAATTAATTATTTATCATTTATAAAATTTAATAAAATATGAATTTATTAGTTGTTTATATAATAATAAAATTTATTATTTATTAATTTATTATATAATATTATTATTATATTAAATAAAATAATAATAAATTTATTTTACAATTTTTAAATAATAAAATCAAAATAAGAAAAGTAAAAAAAATATTTTCTAATTCAAAAGTTTTTCACGCCCAGCGAAAAAGAGTTGAGATTTTCTTTCAAATTTTGATGTAATTATTTTGGATCTAAAAGTAAAAGAAAAAAAATCAACTCCAGTAGACTATTGAAGGGTGCTTCCCTCGATAAACAATTTGGAAACAAAATTGTTATTACGGCGTCGAAATAAAAATATCCAAATGGGTAATCAATCAAATTGACTTCTTGTTGATGGCTTAAATCTCATCATATAGAAGCTGCCATAATATCCATCCGGGCTCATAGCTTGAAGTAGATTTGTAGGCTGATGATTCTTGGCTACACCTACACATACAAAGGATATTGATATTGAAGATGTTGTAATTATGCGAGGTGCATGAACTAATCAGTGTGGGAGTGTGGGTCTGGCCTACAAGTACGGATAGGTCCATGTAAGAGCAAAATTTTAAACTCTCTGGATGTATGGGCTGCTTCGATTCACTTAAATAAATACGAATGCGAATATGGTGAGATTAAAAAAAAAAAAATTTAAATATTATAATTATAAAATTAAAATTATGAATAAAATATATGTTTAAATATAAATATAATAGTATCTTGTGATAAATTATAAAAAGTAAAAATTATTAAAATTTTGAGTGTTGGTAAGAAAAGAGGATACTTGAAAATCATATGAAAGATAACATGAACTTGTAGTAGGAAAACACAATCAAGAGGCACTATAATTAGTTTTTTAAGATGAGTTTCGATGCTTAAGTCAGTCAGGTACATAAGGTTTAAGTGAGGAAAAAGGTAAATTATAAAAATTATTTAGGAAGCTTACGAGGAAAAAAATTTTAGTTTATTTCATATCTAATTTCTTTTTACCTTATATATGGAAAGAATGTGATATTACTAGGATAATTAATAATTGATGGTAAGTTCATTAGAGCTTGAGGAAGGGCCACCTGGATCAATGTACATTTTATTTAATAATCCTAAGCAAGCGTGGATTACATTTATGATTTGGCAAGTTGGAGGCTAATTGGTCTATTTTGAAATGATGCCTTGATGAGACATTAATGGAGATAGATTAGGTTTGTCTCTTCTTGGTAAGGACAAGCCCGCTTTGTGGCAAGGAGTCTGAATATCAACCCTTTTGTGTGGTGATGTGGTAGTTGGGCATGTACTGACTTGGCAATCATGGAGATTGACCTTGTTGTCTAAGTAGGTAGGTACAACAATTGCCCTCCAAGTCTAGAGGGTTATAAAGTGATTAGCCTAAGACTTTTGGCAAGAGTTGTTGAAGACATGCTGATGATGTGTCCCTTTTAGACAAGGTACACTATCTGAGAAACCTATGTTGATGGCATGTCTTTTTTTGGCGAGGGACATTGTCTCAATGAATCGTGTTGATGACATGTCCCGTTAAGGCGAGGGATGCTGTCTCGATGAGCCATTTTGATTATGTATCCTTTTTAGGCGAAGGATGTTATCTCATCGAGTTATGTGTTTTGTCAAGATATAAGGAACCAATAGTGAAGACTTAGGAAAAAGTTTTTGTCCCAAATATTGTGTGATACACATAGTGTGCATAGGTAGAGCACATCTATGGGCGTGTTGTGGCACACACATCCGTGTTTTTAAAGTATACGGCTATGCAAGACACATGGTGTAATAGGATTAAAAGGTTAATAAGCACAATTGGTGGGTTTAAAATTTAAATTATTCTAGTTTACATAAGAGGGAATAAATGAGTTCTTTTTTTTTTTTTGAAAAAATGTGTAACTAAAGCATCGGTTCTAATTAGGGAATTAACATGGACCATTTTGTAATCGATTGAAATAGTGTTTTAATTCGTATTGTTTTGACATGGTGTTTGGCTAAGTGTAAATAAAGAAGAAAAAGAAATTTTAGACTTACTTCATTATTTTCGAGTAAAAAGGGCATTTAGTTTAGGTTTTATGGGTGTTGTGCAAGGTTTACCATGTGGCTTTTAACCTAAGGAACTCCATATTTTTTGTCTTACTACCTCTCAAGGGTTTCACCATCAGACAGGTTGGAGCAAATGAAGAACTGGTAGGGTTATATCTACATAACTTCTATCACATGTTTCACTTGTTAGATCCGATCTTCCATTTAGTGCTTGCCACTTTTAATTTGGTAGTGTCACAGTTAGTGCCTATTGCTTGGGCAATATGGTAACTTATTTCATTTATTGCTATCTAAAAAAGTGGGTTTTTTCAATTAATGTGATTCTGGAGTTGTATATACTAAAGGAGATTAATGAGTTGCTATACTACCTTTAAGCTCTTGGGTGGTTATGTGTGGTGGAGCTACTATCCAACAACCATCCTATGTATGACAGATTTGTGATGACCCACATTAAAAAGCTTAGTGTGCAGTTCGATTTTAAGATCAAGTGAGTCTTGTGCCAGTGCATTGATGAGGGGGACTCTAGAGTTTAGAAAAAATGAAATAAAGCATATGAATACTCTGAAAGATGAGAAGCTATCCTTCCAAGAGTTGGTTACTCACAAGAATATTCATAATTACTATCTTATCCCAAATGAAAACCAAAGCTTGGCCATTACTTTACAAGAGGTGCTGGACAAAAAAAGAGAAAAAGGTGGAGATTATAAGTAGGAGTTAGGAGTATCAACCCCTAAACCCAAAATGAAGGAAGATTTGGGTGGTAAAAAATGTAAGTTAGTTATTTATGTGTCATTTTGTGTATTCAATTGTTGTCTTAAAAAATTGATGTTGATATGGAATTATTGTATTTGTTACTACAGTGAAAAAAATAGTAGTCAAGGCCAAAAAGCCTGTGGTTTGCTAAAGGGTTCCTAAGCCAGTGGCATACAATGAGTTGAGGAGAGGCTAACTGTAGCTATTTCTATTAGTGCGTAGAAGAATGTTGGTGGGCAGAATATTGAAGTGGCCTAAGGTATTAGCATGGATAAGGGCAATGGAGGTGTGTTAGGTAGAAATGAGTCAATGGAGCTAGACTTTGGCATGTTGAGTGTTGGGGTTATTAATGAGGGTAGTTACATTATGTTATTGCTTATTAATTATAACGAACTAATCCTAATGTTTGTCATGCTTTGTAGAAATGGATTGTGCTGCCAAACTTTAGAAGATCATCCATTAGGAAAAATAAAGGGAAAATGGGTCCTCGTAGTTTAACTTCCTTTTGTCAAAAAATAAGTAGTGAGAAGCTTCGGCATGCCCAATGTTGTAGTGCTTGTCAGTGAGATTCAACATTTGGTAGCTATTATGGTGCCTTATATGCTTTAAATAATGATTTTCAATGCTTATCATTTTTCAATAGTTGTTTAATCCCATCTTTCAACGACAAGTGTTTGCCAAGGTCATTTTTATCCAGCACTATTTCTTTCATTCTATCAACTATGTCACTAGCTATCCTAACTCATTGTGGTGGTCAATACTACTATCAGTAGGCCTACCAATAAGGAGATGAAGGCCCCCTTGAGAGCTGTTGCACTTTTCACTAGGTACTCTAATGAAAAGATAAACAAGATGGCTGGATTAGACTTTAATTCATTCATAAGTAACCACATACCATTCTACCTCATGCAACTGCTTTCTTGAGGACCATTACCAGTCTGCCTTAGTTTGCTAATAAAAAAGTATAATAGTTTCTAATAATCTACAAAATGATTTATTTTTGGCTGCTAAAAGAAGTGTTTGAGAAAAGGTAGTGATTTTGTGCTTGTACTTTATATGTATTGAATAGAGTTGCTAACTAAAAGTGGTTATGGTTGCTCAATCTTTGATAAATAAAGTGCCTTAATGAGCAAGTGAGGCTACTTGTAGAGGATCCTAGGTGCAAAAGAGAGATATTACAAGGAAGGCCCAAGTCAAGGCTAATTATGATACTTTACTATGAGAGAAGAATGCTTCTATAAAGGGCTTAGAGACTTTAAACACCATGTTACAAAAGAATGTAGAAGAGTTAGAGGCCTAACTGAGAAAGGCTACTAGGAAAAACACTACTATATAGCAATGTCTTGATGCTGCTACCTCAGGAAGGTTGAAGACAAGAAAAACAAGTTACAAGGCAAGCAATTGGTAACCACCATATGCACTAACCAAGCTAAAGTAGAGAGGGACCAAAGTTTACCGTGAGCTTAATAGTTAAAGGAAAAGTTGGCCAAGCTAAAGGTAGAGCTAGAAGGAAAACGTGTTGAGTCTTTAAAGAGGTTGGTAGAACAGTGTGTGACTGGCTACTGGCAAGCAATACAAGTTGTTAGCCATGTATAATGCCCAATTACAATTAGGCTCCCTGGACTTGAGAAAGGTGGATGGATTTCTTAGAGATGAAGATGCCACAAGAAGACATTAATTTAGAGTTCTTAGAGTAATGGCTTAACTAAAGAGGGTGTCTGAAGGGATTGATGGGATTTCAACAGGTTTTGATTTAAATGCCTTGCCTGTTGTCTTTGGGGACCTTTAAGTTAACAG